CGCGCACGCACACGCACACACGCACACACACACACACGCGCGCGCGCACACACACACATACACACACACACACAGGGAAACCCGAGGCGGCGCTGTGGCTCAGGGGGTAGAGCGCTCGCCTCGAGCTGAAGAGCGCAGGGCAGCGCTCAGGACCAGAGTTCAGGCCCCACCACCGACCAAAAACAAGAAGAGGAAACCCAGAATCTGTCTACCTGGAAACTGGGACGGGGAGGTGTCAGAGGGGCCTGGCCGGGCCTCCGCCAGCCCCGCAGACCCCACCCAGCTCCGGCCGGCGGCAGACCACGCTGCCGCACCCTCCCGGGCGTGGAGGGTGAAGGCTTTCCTTTCCCTTCTCTGTGGTGGTCTAGGCTTCAGCTCGGTCTGGTGTTCTACCACTTGAACCATGCCTCCAGACCTGTATTTTTTGCTGCAGATGGGCTTTTCTCCTGAGCTGGTGGGATCTCAGCCTCCAGAGTAGCTAGGATTACAGGTATAAGCCACTGGACATCCAGCGTTCTGTTGTTTGTCAAGAAAATGACACTGAGAGTCATTGTGGGGGGGGTGTGGGGGGTCCCCGCAGGAATTCCAGAAGGAAATAGGCAGCTCAGGAGGCTGTGCAGAAGCAGAGGGCGTGAACCCCGGCGTGTCTGTTTCAGGGAGACAGGGCTGTGTGTTCAGGGAGAAAGGGCTGCTGCTGCTACCAGCCCGCAGGCTGGACAAAGGCAGGTGCTGAGAAAGGGAATGGAAAGAGAGCTGCAGGTTTGGTTTGGCTGGCTCCAGGATCTCCCTACCTAGCTCATGCTGGCCTCGAGCTCATGATCCTCAAGCTTCTGCCTCCCAAGTTCTGAGATGACAGGTGTGCACCACCATGTGCAGCAACAACTGAAGAGCTTTTGAAGAGGCTTGGTTAGGTTTAATGATTGCTAAGGAGGGCAGCAGACCGACAGAGACCCCTGAGGAGCAAGAAAAGGAGTCTGGAGTGGGAGAGAGGCCTTAAATGCGTAGAAAAGACACTTTCTCCTGTGCTGAGCACAGAGCGCGGTCCTCGCCACCTCATGGAGACACCCTGCCTCAGTTACTGAAATCTGGGGCCGCCATGGGTGGTACAAGCCCTGGCCAGCAAGCTCCCCCTTCCGTGCATGGCACCTCCTGCTCTACACTTGAAACAACTAGAAACGCAAAGTTTAAAAGCTGTATGAAGAGACCATGGGAAGTAGATACACTGAGCTTCGTGCTGGTGAGCTTTCAGTTACCATGACAGAACACCCGAGGTCCATGTTCGAAGGAAAAAGATGGAAGGCGAGGAAGGAGGCTCAGTGGTAGAGCCCTGGGTTCCATTCCTCAGCACCACATATACAGAAAAGGCCAGAAGTGGCGCTGTGGTTCAGAGTGCCAGCCTTGAGCAAAAAGCGTCTCAGGAACAGCGCCTGGGCCTTGAGTTCAAGCCCCAGGACTGGCCAAAAAGAAAAAAAAAAAAGTGGGGCTGGGAAGGTGGCTCAGTGGTAGAGTGTTTGCCTTGCATGCCTGAGGCCCTGGGTTCGATTCCTCAGCACCACATAAGCAAAAAAAAAAAAGGAAAAAAGCCAGAAGTGATACTGTGGCTCAAGTGGTAGAGCGCTAGCCTTGAGCTGAAGAGCTGAGGGACAGCGCCCAGGCCCAGAGTTCAGGCCCCACGACCGGACCCCAAAAAAAAAAAAGTATTTGGACCCAGTGTTTGGGAGATTTCTGGCCATGATCATTTCACCAGGTTGCTGCGGGCCTGGGTTGAGACAGAAGGAGAGAGCTGAAGTCATCCCTGTCCTCAGGAGCCAGGCCCAACCCCTGCAACAGCTCCCACCTCCCAGTACAACCACCCCTGGGACGGGGCCTTTCATCTGGGAGGGAGGGAGAGTTCATATTCCATGCTCTGTAAACTTCATTAAATCTGATAGACCTCTTGACCAGCAAAGCTCAGGGACCTGTGTTCAAATCCCAGCACCACCAAACCAAACACAAAAGCAACTCTCCTTCCTCTTTTTTTTTGGGGGGGGGGGGTCTGGTCGTGGGGCCTGAACTCTGGGCCTGGGCGCTGTCCCTCAGCTCTTCAGCTCAAGGCTAGCGCTCTACCACTTGAGCCACAGTGCCACTTCCAGCTTTTGTCATTTTGCTTATGTGGTGCTGAGGAATCAAACCCAGGGCCTCAGGCATGCAAGGCAAGCACTCTAGCACTGAGCCACCTTCCCAGCCCCTCTCCTTCCTCTTGAGAGCAATGCGCCTTTGTACTGCCTGGAAGCCTGGTGGCAGGACCCCACCCCCACCCCCACCCCCGCCCAGCAGGGGTGGGCCAAGGCAGGTTCCACAGTGCGCATGCTCAGGTGGCTCTTTGGCCACCCCGCATCTGACCCTGGCATGTGAGGCATTTCCCGGGTCTCTGACCAGCACAGGTGCCTGCAGAAGGACGGGCGCTCTGTAGAGAGCAAGCAGCTGGCACCATGCTCTCCCAAGGCCTGCTGCATCTCCCTCCCGCCGCCTCCTGGCAGCGGGGTGCCCGGCTGGCAGGGGGTAGAGTGCCTGGCTGG